GCACTTTGGGAGGCCAAGGCAGGCGGATCACGAGGTCAGGAGATCGAGACCATCCTGGCTAACACAGTGAAACCCTGTCTCTACTGAAAATCCAAAATCTAGCCGGGCGTGGTGGCGGGCACCTGTAGTCCCAGCTACTCGGGAGACTGAGGCAGGAGAATGGCGTGAACCTGGGAGGTGGAGCTTGCAGTGAGCAGAGATGGCACCACTGCCCTCCAGCCTGGGCGACACAGCGAGACTCCGTCTCAAAAAAAAAAAAAAAAAAGAAGGGTGACTGTGACTAGGATTTGACCAGCTGTAAGTAAATTTGGGATGAGGATAATATTGAATGTATGGAGTGGGGAGTATGGTGTGTGATTGCTAGTAGGAGAAAATACATAGCAGAAAACAAGGCTGGAAGGATAGCCCTTGGATTCAATGAGGAGCCACTGACACACTCAGAATGAACTGTTTGCTCCAACTTGTGTTTATGAAGACTTGGGTGTTGGAATAGAGGATGGATTAGAGAGGTGAGACATTGCAGTGAATTAAACCAGAGCAAAAGTCTTTACAACATCTTTCAATCTTCTCTCTGCCATTTCTAGTGACACCAGGGTGTCAGAGGACATTGGGTGAAAGGAGGAAAAGGATGTTAACCTATGAAAGGGAATATGGAAGTGCAATCCCATCAACATAGTCACCAATTGTTTTGAGAAGTGGGGATGAGAGAAATCAAATGGGGAAAGGCACCAAAGTTTCCAATCTAGATCTCAAGGGAAGTGATGGTGTCACCAAGATCAAGGAAGAAGGAGAAACAAGTATGGGGAAAGATATGGAACTGAGTGCTTAACACAATGAGTTAGAGGTGTCCAGGGAACGTACAAGGAGGGTTGTCCAACAAGCTATTGAAATTGTGGATATGCAGTTTAGGATAAAGGTTAAAGTTAATGATGGCATTATAAGTTTCTTTTGTCTTTCTCTCTTCATTAATTTATTCCTTTTACAACCATTTCCTGAGTTCTAACTATAACCACAGTATCATGCTAAGTGATGGGTCCACTGCTAAATCTATGAACCACACAAGGGACTGACTTCAAGGACCTTACAGTCTCTAGAAAGATCAAGGCAGCATGTACATTTACAAGCAAACATTGAAGATACAGATAGAGAAGAGGTACAGAAAAAATTAAATTGGAGTGTCAAAAATTTTAGGAGTTGGGCTATGTGAAAACTAGAATAGCAACCTGTATGAGATTTCATGGTTTAGTAAAGTTTTTTTTTCTTTAATCTGTTTTGTTCTCTCCTTATGTGTTTGTGCTTCAAAATGAGGTGATTGGAACATGTTAGAAGGCAGAAAAAAAAAAAAAAAGGATCAAATGGAGGAAGTCTGACTGAAGATCAGGATGATTGAAGATGTAGAAGAAGTAGGAAATTATCAATTGACCGAGGTCCCAGAGACTGTTGTAGGGGTTACAATATGAAAACAATGAATTTTTAGAGAGGCAACATATCACTGATATCATTGAACCCAACCCTATACAGCTTCCAGATTTGAGAACGGAAACATTTTCACAGAGGCAATGGCCAAGTGGTAGGGTTTAGATCCATGGCTCTGCCTAGGACTGGACATGAATGTACAGTTTCACTCCAGCTTAGAGGATGTAAGAGTTTGAATGTAGAGAAATGTGACAATGATCATGTGGCATGTTGATAACCTGTGCGAATAAGCCACAGGTTTCCAATATGGTGGGAAGGCACTGATGTTTAGATGTGTGTGCCTTCATGGATGCCATTCTGGTGGCTGGGCTTTAGTAGTCTTGAATGGATAGATAAGTCAGGCCACTTCCCAGGTGAGGGACTCAGAAAGTCACGATTCTAGCCAAGTCTGAAGGCAACAGAAAGAGCACTGAGTTTTAGATTTGGACTGACCCAGAGGAGAATCCCTCATCTACCTTATGCTAAATGATTTTTTCCCATTCAGGTTTTATTTTAGCCTCTTTAAACTATAGGTTTCTGATACATAAAAGAGTGAAAAAATATTTGCTCAGGTGGACTTTTTTCAAATGAAATTTATAAAGACCACCTTTTAAGGTGTCTACACATAGTAGGTACTTAGTGAATCTAGTTCTCTTCCATTTCTAGAGGACCAATAAGGAGACTTTATTTTATAGTTCTTTCATATTTCCCTAATGCCTACCTACATTTTCCCTTTTAATTGGAAAAGAAATTCAAATTTCTCTTAATTCCAGTCTCTCAAGCATGTTGTAATAATTGTTTTTTAAAGTGCCAAATTTCTTGCCCACATTTCCAAAAGCTAAGATTGAGTGGGGTGGTAATATTCTGTGTGTGGCCAGAACGTGGAATGAGAAGGGATATCCTGAGACCAGAGCACAGTACCTGTTCTTTCACAAAAGTATTTTCTGTTGAATAATTTAAAAATCAAATAATGCTTTATACTTAATTTTGTCTGGAGTATTGCCTAGATATAAGGAATAAGCCTTGGGGTTCTAAAAAATAAAAATAAAAAAATAAAAAACACCTCTAACTTTTTATTTTATATGGGTATACATTCATATCATATAACAATGTTACCTACAAAAGTTTACAAAGACCATTTCTGTTTTCTGAATTAATGGCAGCAAGTTTCTCTAAAAAGCTGTAGACCTGCTTTTTAGATGAAAGCTGTATTTTTTCTCCCAAATATATTTCCTAAAATATGTGCACCCTACTGCCTTTAGAAGTATTCATGGCCTCCCTCCAGCTCTAAATTGGTACTGTATAGAAATTGTTACAATCCTGTGTGTTGAAAAGTACACTGTGTCTTGCCAAAATAATGAAATCTTTTGGCAGACAGCCCTCTGAAGTGCAGTTGAACAATCACTGCAGCCTCAACCACAGAGGATTAGCATGCCAGCCCAGCACAACAGCATCAGCCTGAGACGGTTCACATCACAAATCAACTTGCTCTGAAACATCCGAAAGGTAATGAGTCTCTCACTGCGAAGCTTATCAGGAAACATGGGCCTCATTTTATCACAACTACTTTTTCACAACAAAGGCAGTCCTTTGAGTTTCACGGAAGTGTTTAGAAACTACATAACTAAATGAGAGGAAAGCAATTACTCAAGGTAGTTATTATCAGAAAACCATACTCTCAGTGTAATTCTTTTTCACTTAAATGATACCATCATGCATATCATTAAGTTTCTTGAAGTAGACAAAGTCATGGAATTCTGTTACCTGGAAGACAAAGCACACCTTCTTTGCATTCTTATATTTCAACCGCAATCTTCTAATATGGCATTTTTAGTACAGTATTGAAGCTTCAAATAGTATTCCCATGGTCACTGCTCAAATTTAAAAGATACTAATTATGAAGAGAAAGTGCTAACTTTCCAGTGTAGAAACCTAGCAGAGCGCACCTTAACTAAAGGATCAAAGACATTGCCTCCAAGAATGGGGGAAAAAAGCAAAACCAAACTCGGGTGTCCCCTGAAAGGATGCACTAGCAAGGACTCAGCATCTCACAGCACCAGGATTCCTGCCCATTACAGAGAACCCGAATCTAACCAAGAGGAAATACCGAACAATCTACAAAGCAATTAGCCTCTAGTCTTCAAACATATCAATGTCCTGAAAGACAAAGAAAGACTGAGGAACGGTTCCAGACCAAAGTAGACTAAATATACATGACAACAAATGCCACACATAATGATGAATTGGATCCTGAATCAGACAAAATAAGGCTATAAAGAACATTATCGGGACAATCAGTGAAGTTTAAATATAAACCATAGATTAGATGTTGGTATTACATCAATGTTAAATCACCTGAAATTACATGAAAATTTACACTTGATAATTGTATTATCAAATGATGGTATTATATCAGTGTTATCACTTACATTTGATAATTCCATTCTCTTAGTAGTTACTAAGAGAATGCACTTGTTCTTAAGAAATGCATGCTTAATTACTTGGAGGTAAAGAATCATGATGGCTGCATCTTCTTTTCAAATGGTTGGAAAAAAATCATTACAAGTGTATGTGTGTGTATATATACACATAGTCTATATGTATACGTTACACATTTGTGTATATGCAGAGAGAGAGAATATGATGAAGCAAATATGGCCAAAAAGAAAAGGAAAAACGACTGCTAAGTCTAGACTGGGTCAAGCAACTAGAAACCAGGGACCAAATGTGGCCCACCTCTTGTTTCTGTAAATAAAGTTTGTTTGGAACAGAGCTATGCCTGTTCATTTGCATATTGCCTGTGGCTGCTTTTGGACTACAGCAGCAGAGTTGAATAGCTGCAACAGAAGACCAAGCCAGCAAAGAATATTTACGAATCTTTGACAGAGAGCTTGCAATACCCTGATTTACATGAAAAGTATATGGAAGTTCTTTGCAGTGTTCTCATAACTTTCTTAAGTGTGTTTTTTTTTTGTTTTTTTTTTTTTGAGACGGAGTCTCGCTCTGTCGCCCAGGCTGGAGTGCAGTGGCCGGATCTCAGCTCACTGCAAGCTCCACCTCCCGGGTTCCCGCCATTCTCCTACCTCAGCCTCCTGCCTAGCTGGGACTACAGGCGCCCGCCACCTCGCCCGGCTAGTTTTTTTTTGGTATTTTTTTAGTAGAGTGGTCTCGATCTCCTGACCTCGTGATCCGCCCGTCTCAGCCTCCCAAAGTGCTGGGATTACAGGCTTGAGCCACCGCGCCCGGCCCTTAAGTGTGTTTTTTAAAGTTAAAATTAAAAATAAATTCATAAAATAATCTTAAAATTATTTAAAATCTCAAATTACAAGTTTTCTCTAGCTGGCATTATTAAAAAGCTATTATGGATATAAATATATGGGCAAAGAGTATTAAAAAATTTAAGTTCCTATCAATGGGCTTATAGGAATAAACAGATTTAAAGACAAATGCTTCAGATCTGAAACCTCATACCAACTAGATAATATGTCTTCCCAAGCAACTGTTCAAGAAGAAAGAGACAAAACCTAGACTCTTTTAGGCTCTACAAAGCCAGTTCTAATAGGCTGTATAGACTGGTGGTTTAACCACAGCCTCGGAAACCCTAAAGTAGAGGACCCAGCATAGCCTCGGTCATCTCGGAAGTCGCAGGTAAGCTCCAGGGTGACTCTGTAAGGATCCCAATTGTCCTTCCTCTCTGCCATCACCTCTAATTACAAAACACAGGAAACGAGGTCACTCGGCACTGTGGTCCAATTTGCCTCTTGGACCCACTTTGTCCCTCTCTCCTTTATACTAGATAAATCCTTCTTACAACATCCAAGCAAAATGTTCCTCGCAAGGAAGATAGGAGATGGATAGAACCTACGTCTTTTGCAGTTGCAAACTACTGCACGGCATGTGTATTAGCTTTCAGTAGTATGCTCACTCCCTGGCTACATTCATACCTGAATTCTAAAAGCAGCAGAATCAGTCTGTGTTTATTAAAAGCCCAATGAAGGAAAACTGATGTTGGTGTTTTGCCAAGACAGAGCAGGAAAGGAGGGGTAGGTGTCCTTTCCTCACAGGAGGAAGCTTACATCCTCACATGAACATTTTCCTAAAGACACAAAAAACTCACCCTCAGTGGGAAATGTATTGGCGCACGGACAACTTAATAAAATGATACACATAACAAGACAGCTTTTTCTGTGTGAAAATAAAAGTGCATATTTAATCAAAGTGCTAAAAAATCAGTGAGGGCTAGAAAATATTATCTGTATATGTAATTTCCAACCCAGAAACTATAACACACACATACAATTTTTTAAATTATAATCTGATTATAGGACATCTGTATATATCCTTTGGCAGACTATCAAATCCACCGCTCAGCTTTCTCCAATACTGACCCCCAGGTAATCAAAATAACTCAAGAATCCTGGCAGAGCCATTAGCCAGCTTTTGCAGGCTGAATTAAGGGGACCCATGTTGTGCCTCCAGAATCTCAAGTGTTCATTAGATCAGATTTTGCGTAACTTAACTGGAATCACCAGTCACAGCATTCCAAGGGCTTAAACAGCCAGGCCCGTCTCCCCAGTGAAAGTCAGAATTGAATCTGCACAGCATGATTCTGACATCACTGTGCTGCGAGGTTAAAAAAAAAACTCCTCTGTGACAAGTTGAATGGAGATTAGGATTTCCCTCACTTGGTGCTATGTTTAAAAGCTTATGCACATCTAGCTCTGATCCTTATCTCCATATATATATTTTTTCTACACATTTTCTTGACAACACACATCTCCTAAGAAAACATTTGATTGGTAGTTCTGGAGAACCATGTCAATCGTATTCCCAAGTTGGGTGGCCTGGTGTCCTTTTTTCCTGTGCTAATGACCTTATAAAATGCGGCACACATCACAGGAGGAATGGGATTTTGCTCTTTGTCCCTATGTTAAATCTCACAGAGCTACTTAAAAGCCTGTCTTATTTATAATATCTGCTTCTTGCTTAACAAGATTGTTTATATCAGTAATATATAAGAAGGTCATGGGTAACTATATGCTGTTGGCTTATTATTTCCAAGAAATGCATCTCTTTGTCTGAGAGGTGAGTGATTATAGTAGGTTCTAAGAGAGAACCTAAAATGAAGCATGTCTGTGCAGTGAGACCAATCAGCAACAGTGTCAACACTAATCCTCTTCTGATAGAAGGAGCTTGTAACACTGACAGCTTAATATCTATCTGTGTGGCTCGGTTGTCTGATATGTCAAACTCAAGGAAGGCATGGTGTGCTCTTGAAAAGACCAGGGAGCCAAATCTCATGGGGACTTTCATGTTTCCTGTCTCCCTTGCCAGATCAAATCACCCCAGCTTTGTCAACATGAAAGCTCCTCTAAGACATTAGTGCATCCCTGAGCAAACCCATTCAATTTGGCATTATGTGGTAGGTCTGCTCCAGATTAATGAGTTAGACATCATATTCATAACTTTTCAGATGCTTAAAAGGAAACACCATGGTGGAGAATGTATGTTAGTTATGGATGGAAAACTCCATTTATAATAGAACCTGTTTGGCCTTTAACCCAAACTTGAAATGTGTACAACCTCACTTTCATATTAATTTTATTCTCTCTTCACCCCAAAAAGAGTGATGTTGAAGTTCTTGTGGCCAGTGGAATGCCATCATAATACAATAACAATGAAAGCTATTTGTGAACCCAACCAAAACGAGCAGCAAACACTAACTCAGTAAGTTTTGATCATGAGAGTTTGTTAAACTATTGCAGTCTTTCAAGAAACTTTGCACAGGGTTTAGAAGCACCTCCTTCATACTGTGGGCAATGCAAATGTCAGTTTCTTTTGCTTGTTTTCCCTTATTATCCCCTTGACTGAAATACACATTTAAGGACTCAACCGAAGATGTCTCGTCCTCTTGTTGTTTTGCATTTTACAACTTAGCTAACTTAACACCGTTTTGATTAACTCAGCTTACCTTCATAACCCCTTTACCCATTCATTCATCAGTTGCTCGTGCTGAACCAAAAAAATGCAGAAAAAAGAAAAAAGGAGTAGCTCATATTATCTAGAGCAGTGGTGTCCAACATAATGCAAGAATGGAATTGTTCTGTACATACACCGTACAATATGGCAACCAGCAGCCACATGGGGCTGTTGAGCACTTGAAATGTGGCCAATGAGACTGGAAGATGAAATATTTAATTTTAATAAACTTAAATCTGTAAAGCTATATGTGGCTGATGGCTACCATATTGGAGAGAAGAAACTGAGCAAGTTAAAAGGAAAATACAAAAGCATGCATTCAACTTCCATCACACCCACCTTCTAGTGGAAGTAGAAGCTATATTTCCCAGATGATCATGCCACTAAAATTCTGAATTCAATTAGGTTATGCTTATCAATATATTTATGCAGCATTTGAAGGCAAAAAGAAAACAGAAGGTATTTTCCTCCTTGTGCCTTGTTCACCATTTCTATGGTTTAGAACCTTGTGGAAGTGTGAAGGTTTTCTGCTGCAGTCTTCAAGTCTTCATTCTCCAGCTTCCTGGGTATCTGTAGAGGCTTCATCAGGGGACTGCTCTTGACTCCCACATTGTTACACCAGAGAGGGCTCAGAGCAAGCAGGAGAGTCAGCTCTTGATTGTTTTAGAGTCATTTCTGGAGGCTGAGCCTAGAGTCCATTCCTTCAACACCTCTAATCATTTTAGAAGCATCTAATCTCTTGTACTAAGTTCGTTCCAGTTTATGTACCTGGAGTAGTTTGTTTTCTTCACTGACACTACCTGATGCAAGCAACTAAGATGATACATGTGAACTGAAATTTTTTAACTCTTGTGACATCAAAAATGCAAAGAATGTAGCCACAGCTTTTCTGATTATCTATTGTGTCACCAATATTCATTTCTAATCTTACAAGAGTCTCCCTTTACTTTGTAACCTCCCTACCTTCTCTGCATATGTATTTATTGATTCACATTTATGTGTTGGGCAATCCAAGAGATATTGGGGGCACATGGATGCATCAAACACACAGTCTTCATGCTTTGACCTTAGAGTATGATGGAGAACAAAATTAAGCCATTATAGTACAGTGGGCTCAAAGCCATGAGACAAAGGTATACAGAAGTACAGATGGGGAGAACCTAACCCAAGTGACAACTATGCAAAATTTCCTGGGCAGACAGAAAAAAAAAAAAAAAAATGAGTAGGATTAACCAGGCAAAAACAGGTGGGATGAGAGAAGAGTATGTCCCAGATAGATTTGATCTTTTTAAGCATGAAAATAAAACTGTAAATTTCAGCAAGCTAGAGGCACTCCAAAGGTTTCTGCTGTGTTCTGAGATGAAGACAAATGATCTACAATTCACAGGCTATTCAGAGTCAACTTTAGCTTTGGGGCAAGTGGGAGCTTGGATCTTAGCAATGCTTACAGCGACCGCCGGATATATTTTAGAAGTATAGCAGGCTTTATGTAGACCAGTAGAACAAAGAAAAGAAAATGACTCTTATTGAAGAAATGTATGTTTCCTTTATCAGAGAGAAAGAACCTAGCTTTCCTTTCCCAAAAGCATGCACACCATTGGTAAAACTAGTAATTTAATTACCCCAAAAGACAGCACTCAAAGGTCTGCTTTATCAAATGATAAGATTCTCTAAGTGTTGGCCGGCCGCGGTGGCTCACAACTGTAATCCCAGCACTTTGGGAGGCTGAGGTGGGCGGATCACGAGGTCAGGAGTTCGAGATCAGCCTGACCAACATGATGAAACCCCATCTCTACTAAAAATACAAAAATTAGCCGGGCGTGGTGACTTGCGCCTGTAATCCCAGCTACTCAGGAGGTTGAGGCAGGAGAATTGCTTGAACCTGGGAGGCAGAAGTTGCAGTGAGCTGAGATGGCGCCATTGCACTCCAGCCTGGGCAACAGAGTGAGACTCTGTCTCAAAAAAAAGAAAAAAAAAAGAAAAAAAAAGATTCCCTAAGTGAAATTCTAATGCACCTGAAAATAACTTATATAAGAACATCCTTATTATAACAGACATGTGATAATTATGACATAGATGATGCCATTAATGCCTGCTTTCTTCTACTTGGGGGGAGCTTAAAAAGAATCTCACTCACACATGAAATCATTTTGGAGATTTAAAATAAAGTGTACAAATCCCACAAATTTGAATAGGCAGCTTCATGTAATTTAATGCCGCTATATGTAACAGTTTAACTGGACAAGAACACACAGAAGGAACAGTAAAAGACACTGTTTTCCAAGTTTTATTAGTTTCTTCCCAACTCATTCAGATTGTTATACATGCATCAATTCATAAGAGTAACTTGAATACCCTGTATCCTCAGAAAACTGTTTCACCAAGATGCTGCCACTAATGTACCCTCACTTCACCAAGAGGAAACAGATTTGCTTTATTTCTATTGTCACTGAATGCACGTTTATAATTTATAGAATGCTTCTCTTCTGCTTCTTTAATATAATAGAAATGTCTTCATGTTTATAGAAAAACAAGAAACTCACATCCAACTTACTCATTTTCAACAGGAAATGTGATGGACTAACACGCGAAGACTGTATTACAAAGAGAATGCAAGGCAAAAACATCAGAATGGCATCTTCTGTTGGAAATAGAGTGGACTAAATATTTTTGGAGATTACACATCTGTCAGATAAGGCAAGTCCTTCCCATGAAGTGGTAA